GGGTTGCTGAGGGTTTAGGGTTTAGGGTTTAGGGTTTAGGGTTTAGGGTTTAGGGTTCCTTTGTTGTTCAAAGCTTCGTCTCGGGGTTGGCTGCGTTGCAGTGTGGTGTAGTGTTCAGGAGTTAAGTTTCGACGGTGTAGACTCTAGGGTTTAAAGGTTAAGCTTTGAGGGTTTAGGGTTTGGGGATCATGATTTGCGGTTTTTGCTCCCGTTTAGGTCGAAGAGCTGGGGTGTGTTGTTGCAGGGTTTCGGACATTTCATTTTCTTTTAGTCGTTGTTGGCACATGTAGTTTGAATCGGTTCTGAGGGCTTTCTTGCGTCCCTGGGCTTGGGGCGCAAGAGTGTTGGGAACCTACAGGCATTCGGTTTAGGGATTAGGGTTTAGGGTTTAGGGTCTAGGGTTTAGGGATGGCAAAACGTGCAAATCACAAAGTACGGTCCTCGTCGTCAAGCTTACCCTGGACAAAGCAGCCGTAACTAAATCAAGCCCGCCGTAAACCCTGAATCCTCAAAACTCTAAGCCGTAAGCCCTGAATCCTCAACCTTAATCCCCTAAGCTCAAGGTTACCCCAAAACCCGAAACCCTAAACCCTAAACCCTAAACCCTAAACCCTTAATCCCCTAAGCTCAAGGTTACCCCAAAACCCTAAACCCTTGACTCGAAACCCTTAAAGGAACCCCACCCTGAGCCCCTTAGAGCCTGACCCAAACCCTAAGCCCTAAGCCCTAAACCCTAAACCCTAAACCCTAAACCCTAAACCCTGAGAGTTTAGGGGAAGCCGAAAGCCCCGAAGCCAAGGAGGTCCTCCAAGAGCAACTCACACAGCGGCCCGACATGGCGTGCGAGGCCCAGTACCTTTGGGAGCTTCCGAACGTACTGGGGCACCTTATTTTGGGGAACCCCCGGTGGTTTAGGGTTTAGAGTTTAGGGTTCAGGGTTTAGGTTTTAGGGTTTAGGGTTCAGGGTTCAGGATTTAGGGAAGATTGGGGTACATTATTTTGGGGTCCTTAGAATAAAGATCCTACTATTGAGGGTACTCTATGAGGGTCCCTGTTTTCGGAAACCCCCATTCGGAAGCCCGAAGAATCAAGGGATTCCTTCTGTAGGGATCCTGCAAAGGATTCCTTTCAGGCTCTAAAGCGTAACCTTTATATACCCATAGGCCCCATAGTAGTTCCCTTTTGGGGTTACCTTATAGGATTCTCTATATGAAACCCAAAAAAGAGCTACTTTAGGGCCTATGGGTAAGCATAATATACTACCCTAACCCCCCAGGTACCTAGTATATGGGGCCCGAGGGGCTCTAGTACCCTACATAGTAGGTACCTGAGGGGTTAGGGCTATAATGGTTCATTGGTTAATGGAGAACCCTCAACGTTAACCCTAAACATAGGCCCCATAGTAGTTCCTTTTTTGGGGTCATACCCTAAACCCTAAACCCTAAACCCCCAAAGAGGAATTACTATGGGGCCTATGGGGTAGGCCCTAAATTCAGGTGGAGGGCGTAGGCTGCTTGTGAAGGGCGAAGCGAATAGTGGTCTGTTTGAGAGTGCAGGTCTTACTTTCAGGGCTTCTTTAAAGGGTTTAGGGTTTAGGGGTTTAGGGTTTAGGGGTTTAGGGTTTAGGGTTTAGGGTTTAGGGTTTAGGGGTTTAGGGTTTAGGGTTTAGGGTAAGGTTCTATGAGGGGTACTCAGGGTTGCCAGTAGTATAGAAAAAACAGCGAATGTTAAATGGAGGGGTTCCTTTCAGGATTTCTTCAGGGCCTCCTTGCTCTCCAAGCCATTCCTGCTGTGACTGTTGTGATGTTGCCAGTGGTTTGGGGCTCTTTGAAGGTTTGGGTCTTCAGGTTCAGGGCGTACGGTTAGCGTAGACTAGAAGCTTGGGTAGTCAGCGGTAACGGGCTTTTATACGCGGTTCATGTGGGTGTTTAGGTAAACGGAGTTTGTTGCAGATTTGTTGGACTCAGAAAAAACTGGACGAATACTGTTCCTTCCGGTTCCTCGTTAGCACTGTAGTATTAAAACGGGTTAGTTGAGGATGTGGCGATTCGGGCTTAGGTTTGAGGGTTTAGGATTCTAGGGTTTCGGTCTCAGTGTTCTACCATGACTTTATAATTGAAATGTCTGCCATGGGCGCAAGTTTAGGGTGTAGGGTTGAAAGTTTACGCTGAGTAGTAGTTTCATGGAAGAGTTTTGAACGGTTAACCTGTGCTCAGCCAAGGATTTCAACTAGGGCCGGTTACTTTCGTTTCTGGGCAACCCGACATGCTCTTCAGAAGCCTTGTCCAGGGATTAGGGTTTTGTCAGGGCTTAGCATTTTGTTTCATTCCGAGGGGGCGGTTTGGGGGTTTTGGGTATTTGTCATAGTTCGGGAGCTGGTCTAAAAAGCATTGAAGCAGACGCTCAACCTTCTCACAGTTACCATTTAGCTTCAGTAAATGGTGACTAGGTGACTAGATGTGATCGGCTGCCATGATGGTCATTGATATTGGTATGGAGATTGCGCTTTGTCTCACACTGATTTAACATGTTCCCCAAAGGGTCTAAGTGCCCATATAGTAGAAATTTTGGGCCCCAAAGTATCTGCCATATAAGTACTTAAACCCTTTGGGTTCTTGGCGCTGCTGGCTGCCCAGGTGCGAGCTCTTCGCTTGTGCCGACCGCTTCCAGGTGGCGAACCTTCGCTTGGAGGAGCTCAGAGGGTGATGAGGTTAAGGGTTGGGCTTAGGGCTTAGGGCTTAGGGTTTAGGGTTTAGTGGGGTTTAGGCGTTTAGGGTTAAGGGTTTAGTGAAGGCTTATATAACTTATATAGGGTTTCACGGATATCTTGAACCCCAAACCCTAAACCCTAAAGGGTTCAGTGTCTCCACCCAAATACCAAGCCCTCACCCTTTGACTGGATTTCGAGGCTTTAGGGTATCCGCAATCGGGATTTTGTCAGCGAATCCTAGACCTAATACCTTACTTCCTCAAGTTCCATCTCTCGAAACGACGAAACGTACATGTTTAGGGTTTTTTTGGATCTGATAGGTAGTTAGGGAGTTTTTGGCTGTAAGGTAAACCCTCCTTAAAGGAGCCCTCGACCCTAAACCCTGAAAGCAGCGACCTTGTCTGTCTGGTGCTTAGTAGGGAATGGGGGAATGGCT